GTGATCTTCTGGAGCACCTGAAGGAGCCCATCCTGCAGGATCTCCATGGTTCAAGGCAACAGCAGGATGACCAAGAGGAGTTCCAGCAAGGGCCGAGCATAGATAGTGTAGCAGAAGCCAGAGGCCTCAAACCCCACCAATGACTTTGTAATGAACACTTACAAGTAAAGATATACGGACAAAAGGGTTTACAGTGTGAGACTCACTGTCCCACACTACAGCTTCCATAATGAGATTGATTTTTTTCCTTTTTTTTCTCTTAAATTTTATTTTGTTTTATTTCAGCAGAGGAGACTGAAGGGCAGAGGATGGGCACAAAAGGCCAGGAAAATTAATAGGACTGAGGTGCATGATGTGAAAAAACAAAGAAAAAATAAAAAGAAAGCTAAAAAAGGAACACTGGGGATAGGGAAGTGGCTCGGTTGGTAGAGCACTTGCCCAGCCAGCACTAAACAACTGGGTGATCCCAGCTCTCAGTAGGTTGAGGCTGAGGATCAGGAGTTCAAGGCCATCCTCAGCTACTCACCAACTTCCAGGTCAGCCTGGGCTTTAAGAGACCTTGTTTTTTTTTTTTTTTTTTTTTTTTTTGCTTTGTTTTTNTTTTTTTTTTTTTTTTGCTTTGTTTTTAATTATTTATTTATTTAATTATTTAAAAAATTTCAAATAAACATTGTTAACTTTCGGATAAAAATTGCCGAGCGGAGAGAATGGCCCTGTCCCTTCTGTGACCTCAGGCCCTAGCACTCCTGGGGACTGTTGTGCTCCCTGAGAAACACTCCCAGAGACAGCGTCTTCCTGCTGTGTGAGCACAGGCACTTGAGTTTCCTGGCTGTTGTTCTGCCCAGCCCTACAGATCACAAGCTCCTGGAGGGCTTTGCCCTAAGGTCGAATCGCTAACCCAACTAGACCCATTTCAAAGGCACTGTTTCCACACCTGACCCCCGTCTGTGAGTGACAACACACCTTTGGCAAACTTGCCAGATCCAAGGGGCTCACGAAGGATTGCAGTGGGTGGGGAGCCGAGTCCCAGGTTCAGCCTCTGGAGAACCCTTGGAAAGGCTGGGATCTGTATTTTGCCCCTGGTGATCTGTTAGAGAACACTGTGAATGGGCGTGGCCTGTGGTTCCCACATCCCCCTCCTTTGAACCCGAGGCTTCCTCCATCTCCATCCCATTCTCTGGGCTGTGGCCTGAGTTCTCAGCTGCAGCTCTGGAACTGGAAAGGATGGGAACCTCATTGGTATGCAGGGCTCTCTTGTCACTTTGCCACTAACAGGAGCCGAAGAAGGGCTGGCACATCTCTTTGGGATTTTCCATTCCTCCTGGCCCTTCCGGAGTTGGCTGGACACCAGTTTGCCAAGGGGGATAAGGACAACACAGGGGCACGGAGACATCTGCCTATTGACATCTCGAAAGTGGAAAGTGGGTCCTTCCAGAAGCTCTGATAAATTCTTCCTTCTCTAATTCCTATTCCCTTCTCCCCAGCCTCCTTTTACAGCACACACCTTTACAGGGGCTGTATTCTGCGAAGACTTGAAGGACTAAGCGCCCTTTGGATAGATTGATTGGCTGGTTGAGGCAAGGTCTCACTGCATTGGGCCTTAAGCAACCCTCCCCACCTGACCTTCCCCAGTAGCTGACACGTAGGCATCTGCCACTGCATCCAATAAAGGTTTAATTTCTAGCAAAGTGGTCCTTGCTCACAGATAAATAAGGTAAAACACAGGCTTCAGGGGACATCCTCAGCCCAGCGCCACACTCCTGTATCCCAGCAGCACTCAGGGCTTCTCAGGTGGGGACTGGGCAGCCCCAATAGGCTCACATGGTGGTAAGATTTTTAAGTATTATCTCCTCATGGATGTATGACAAGTGAGAATTAGCTCAAGAAACCAATAACACACTTTTCCAGTTCTTTATTATAGCTTTGTGATTCCAAGTAGAATATGTACTGTCATTGTTTCTTTTTACCTCTGGAGATGGTGATATAATACATAACTACAGAGTGACCATCCTGCAGCCGCCACCCAGAGTCGGGAACTGTCAACACCCTTCTTTCCTCTCTCTCTCTCTCTCTCTCTCTCTCTCTCTCTCTCTCTCTCCTCTCTCCAAGGTTTTGCTATATAGTCCAAGCTAGCCTTGAACTTGTGATCTTTCTGCTTCCACCTCCTGTGTGATGGGATTATAGGTGAACCGTGTCTGGCTCAAAGTCAACATCTTTGAGTTTCGTCCTCGGACAGTGAAGCCACATGCCCAACTCTTGTGGTACTCTTGCCGTTCCCCTCCGAGTTCCTCACTTGAGTGTGCTGCCCTCAACACCGAGGTCTGTTGCGAATCCAGGACCGCAGTCTGGATTGTTCAGAGCCTACCATGCAGCTACCCTGCAGTGCTGTTAGACTAATAACGTGAGCTGGAGCAGAGACTCCTGGTTCATTTGTGCTCGTCGCTGTAGAATCTCTCACCGCTCGGAGATCATAGCTTCTCTTCCCACCTGTACTGTCAAGAAGTTGGGGGCTTGAAATGGACCCTAAACCTGGCGATGCTCCAGAGGGAGACCTTTCCCGGCACCCAATCAGTCACGATTTGTACAGCCCGGGCTTTCATGTACCAGAGGATGTGGGAGTGGAGAGGGCCACTGGGAAAAATGTAGAGAATCCCTGGCTTTGAAGGACCAATGTCACTGTCAATAGGGTCTAGACTCCTAGACGCATGCCGCATCTTCATGCTACTTCCTGTATAGCGAACAGGAGGTACATCTGTGCATGCAGTAACACTTTATTTAATTAACCGTGTGTCTGTGTGTATGGAATGTGTGAAGTTTGGAGAACAACTTTTCAGTTGGTTCTGTCCTTCCACCTTGTGGGTCCTGGGTGCAGAACTTGGGTTATCAGGCTTAGAGGCAAATGCCTTCTTTGCCCGCCGAACCATCTCACTGGCCCCGTCTATATATTTATTTTACTTTTTTTTTGCTTGTAGGCTCCAAATAATTAAATATTCTGTCCAGTGTTAATACAGGCTGAGAATCACTTGTGGTAGCTCATACCTTTAATCCCAGCCCCTGAGAGACTGAGGCAGGCGGATCTCTGATTTGAAAGCTGACTTGGACTACATGGCAAGTTTCAGACCAGCCAGGGTTACATAAGCAAGACCCCGTCTCAAAGAAAGAGACGAGAGAGAAATGGGGGGAGACAGAGGTGTCCAATTTGGATTTTAGAATGCTTGCCTTTGAAATCTTGGGCTAGGACTCAAGTACAAAGACAAGATTCATTTAGGCTTCATGGTCACTCATACCTATAGAATGAACATCATTTTATGACATTTTAAAAAATGATTCTGTGCATGCCACAGAGCTAAGACGTGTGGAATTTTCCATCTGTGGCATCAGGTCAGTGTTCAGGAAGTGTCTGGTTTGTTCTAGATTTCAGATTTTGATTTAGGCATGCCCACTTGTGTAGTTAGTATTAATAGTCCAAAAAACCCGGATCACCACAGGCACTGAAATAGAAGAGTGGATTCTGGGAACCCTTGAGTCCTGATTACCTTTCAGTCTGGCACCTGGGCAGATTTCTGCCTAGTTGGAGGAGGGGATGATCTAATGGAATCTGCCTCAGTAAATCTCCCGGAAGGAGCTTAAGAGCTGGGCTGATCGCAGGATGACTCTGAGCTCTAGGAAAGCATTCACACCGCCGCCATTAAGAAATGACCCATCGTGGTGACCACTGCAGCCTTCACCTCATACTCGTGTCTGGTGGGTGTGTGCCCTAAGTTTCTGGGTGCACTGGGGGTGGTGGTGAAACCTCTGTGCTATAGAGTAACGGTCCAAACCACCAGTTCCTGTTAGAACCGTGATGCACTTCACAAGCCAGGGCACCTGAGCACTCGAGAATAATCTTTCAGGCACGGACACAGGAAGGAAGCTACTAGAGGCGAAGACCTTTAGCCACGGAAGGCCAGAGGGGAGACGACTCAGTCGTAAGCTGCTCACAGTGCTGGCTTGAGGACCCGGGTTCAATCTCCAGAACCCGTGTAATAAACTGTAGGCCACAGTGGGATTATTCTTGTAGTCCCAGAGGATCCTCGGGGCTTTCCAGGTAGCCACCTTTGCCTTCCCCACGAGCTCCAGGCCAATGAGGCACCTGGTCTTACAAAAGCAAGGCGGTGATATCTTGAGAGCAACACCTGAGGTCATCCTCTAGTCTCCAAGGCACAGTGCACAGATGTGCGCCCTTAGGCACACACAAATTGGAGGTCTTTGCAGTGGGGTATAGTTCAGTGATGGAGTGCTTACCTAAGTATGCATGAGGCAAGCCCTGGGTTCCATTTCCAGCACCACCAAACAATATTAATAATACAGTAATAATAATACATTTAAAAAAGAGAGTTCTGCCGGGCGGTGGTGGCGCACGCCTTTAATCCCAGCACTAGGGAGGCAGAGGCAGGCGGATCTCTGTGAGTTTGAGACCAGCCTGGTCTACGAGAGCTAGTTCCAGGACAGGCTCCAAAACCACAGAGAAACCCTGTGGGGGGGGGGGAAACCCTAAAAAAGAGAGTTCTTTTTCCTCCCCGGGGGCTGGGTTTCCATATTTGTTTGGGGACAGCATCTTAGCTCTTGGGATTAATTTCTCCAACACAGAATGCTATGCTCTGGGTCCAGCTAACTCCCCTTTAATGAAATGGTGCCAGGCAATGGACCGGGCTCTATCCGTTACTATCTGTGGGAAGCCTCCTTTAGTGCTCTAGCCCACAATGCACGCCATTAATCTTTTTTTTTTTTTTTTTCCTGAACTCGGAGCTGTCTGTCATGAACTGAGGGGGGAGGGTAGCTTCAAGCCTTCAGGTGACATCCCGGAATACAATGGACCTGTGTTCCTCCCAGTGCCTGAGGGGTCAGAACTGTGGCAGGGACGCAGAGGGGTTTGTGGTAAATGACCCTGTCCAAACATCGGTGTTTCCAGTTTCCAAATGGCAGTGTACACTGACCCTGACTCTCTCCTCTCTCTGCAGTGAGATGTAAAATGGAGGAGGAGGAAGTGGCTGCTGCCTCGGTGCCACCATCTTAATAACACCAGCCACTCCACACCCAGGCTGCACATTGCCCAAGACGAGCTCCTTCAGAAGCCTTAGTACGGTGGATTCACAACCCTTTGCATACAGGCCGGGTTTGTGTCAGACAAGCTTAGGAAAGCGTCCCTTGCTTTCTGCTTTACCCCAAATACTGTTTTTTTTTTTTTTTTTTTTTTTTTTTTTTTTTTTTTTTTCTCACATATACTTCTCCACGGTGTCTGGTGTGCCATTCTGAGCCACTGCACTTGAAACATCTAGTGATGGCCTCCGTCACCGTTTGCCCACTTCTGCTAAGATCTGTATTTTAATTTATCTCAAATCTCTGTTAGCTCTGTTTTGGTTTTGTTGTTGGCCTAACAAATGAGGCGAGGCTCAAGAACTGAGCTGTGTTTCTAGCTCAAGAAGAGGCAGCCGATGCAAAGGATTTCCATTGTCTAAGCCCCAAAGGGGTCACAGCAGCGCCTTTTAACTAACGGTCCTCGTCTGTTCCGTGGTCACGCTCCCCAGGATTCTCTCATTTGGAAGGCCCCAGACACAGCTGATGGCCTCCTTGGTAGTAGTGTTTGACAGGCTTCCACGCGTCTTAGGTAAATAGTAAAGCCTTTATTTTCTTGTTACGAACAGCATTTTGAAAATAAAACCTATCTGCCCATGCTTAACAACCTTTTCAGTCTGTGATATTTATATGTACATACTGATTGTCTTGAAATTTCCCAAACAATTTTGTTTATAAGTATGCAAGTCAGCCAAGGTGGGGGAAGAGTGAGGGTACATTATAAAATACACATTAATACATTTAATAAATATATATTATCTATCAAAAATGAGCCATAGCTCTTTATGAATAAAAAGCACCTGCCAGGGGCTCTCATCGGCTCACATGGTTGCTACATCCTTGGATGTGTGAACGCCAGCGCCCCCTTCTACTTTCCAATTTGGCAAACCCAAGAGACAACCCTTCTCACCCTGTCTGCATTCCTCTGCTGGCCTGACCTCATCTGTGTGGGGGTGGGGTAGACAACAACCAGATCTTAACCTTGGAGACAGCCTCTCCCCTCTGCCACTGTCCCACCGCCTTGGCAAGGGACTCCAGTTAGGAGGGGACAGAGGAGCTGCCATTGTCCCAGCGTGGTGTCGCTACCCGGGCATGCTAGGTTGTGCTTACAGCTTGGGGTTATTCACAGAGGACTTTCTAGACCATTTCCCGCATCAACTCTTAAACAGGTGCCGTGGATTCTGTACTCCAGCCTGGTTCTGTTGGAAGCCGGCTGCAGTCTCTGGGTGGAGTTGCCTCGCGATCCTCTTCAGGTGAGCTCGGAACTCATTAGAAAAATAGCAGATGGCGCCCTTCTTCCTTTGCTCCCACCTCCACCCCTAGTGTCTAAGAACATCCAGCCCACCCTGAACCTTAAATTAGCCAAGATAAAACAAAGCCCAGAAGCGCAATCACCTATCAGGATGGGAAAGAAAAAAAAAAAAAAAAACAAAACTGCAAGGCCTCACTAAGCGAGGCGTCCTGTGGCTCAGAATGGTTCTGCTTATACAGTGCAGAAATGTTGCTGCTTTCTGCACAGCCATTTGCACGGTGCTCACCTTATACGCGGAAAACCAAGAGCTTACAGAGAAAACCATCAATCATGTCAGCGTCTCCCTTCTGCAAGGGGGGCTTTTGCAGACCAAGTCACTGGTGACATCAGAAAGCTCCAAAGGACTCCAGAGAGCGGGGGTGGGCAGCCACTTCCTGGCACAAGAACGCGGAGTGCTGGCGTTTGTCACCGGACTGGCCCGAGGTGCTCATAGATCTCTTTGTAGAAGGCTGGGTAGTGCATGCAAGAGCCCCAGCCCCACGCAGCCCTAGCTTTCTTTCCCTCCAAACCCTCCTCGAGCTTCGAAGTTCTCAGCCCACCACATGATGGTCCTTAAGCATGAAGGACTAGCTGGAATTCTCTGGAAGCAAGCACATGCTCTGAGTGGGAGCAGGGCATCCCAGAAGACCGGGAAGGGGAGGCCTTTGGGTGTCATGCTCTCTGGTTCCCATGCGTGGTGATGCGCTAGCTGGAAGGAAAACTCGCAGGAGAGCCGAGCACTAGGCAGACTGGCCTCATCCCCCTAAGGCTCTGCAAAGGCAGGGGAGGGAAGGGGAGGGAGGGGATACAGCAGAGACTGGGGTCTTGAGAAAAATCAGATTTATTAAAACACTCAGCTCAGATGTTCTGGCTGAAGAAGAGGTCAGTCCCCACCCCCGCCCCCAAATACTAACCTTTTCAATTTTGCTTTCATTAAAGGTTAAAGGCTTGTGGGTAGTTTTTTTTTTTTTTTTTTTTTTTTTTT